ATTGTGTAGCAGGAATGGTATCGGCAAAGAACTTGTCAACTGATGCAATGAAAAAAGAAATTCCATAAAAAAATGGAGGCAGACTGAAAGTCTGAAAACACCAAGGAAAGAACTGGCAATTACCATTGTCATTTTGCTCTGAAGGATCACGCAATCCAGTAGAAAACGAATATTCTGTTCAAATTATGAAAGAATAGCATGAATTATGCAAGCTTAAAGCAGATAAAAAGAGACATTTTTATGAGATTATATAATGAAGGTTCATGCAGTTTTTGCTTAAACTGCTGGCATTGAGTTTCCTAGAGTCTTGCAGTGATTAGATGGATGACACAGTGAATTTCTGGAAACTAATTTAGAATGACATATATGCCACAGATTATAACCTAGCAGACAAGCATCGCAAGGAGTTTCAGAAGATAAATAATTTCATCTCACCTCCTATATCTGCCAAGTTATTGAAGCCAGCATTAGCAGGTTGAAGCAGAACCTGCCCCGGACTTCGCACACGAGATAACTCTGCAAAGGCAAAAGATGAAGGGTCCATGCTCTCTGGCATCTCTCTTGGAACGAAAGGATATTGATCAAGGGATGCAACTGATACAGGACTTGGACTCTCTGATTTAATAAAAGGTTGGGTAGGTGCTATATGGGCTGTTGTATTGTCAATTGGCATCCTTCAACAAACAGCAGAGTAGAACGATCACAGCAGCATAAACCAAGTGTTTCTATTATTCCTAATATATCGTTTGATAATTTGCATGATCTTTAAATCCTTCAATTAAATAAAAAATTTAACAAGACTTGTACATATCTATGCACACATTTATGTATGTCAACTTGGAAGATGCACCGGGCTCCAGTTGAATCAACAGTCGCAACATAATGCATTAATGATGATGCAAATTTGTGTGCAAGAAGCATATTACAAATCAACGCAGATTTATAATTTCGAGACTATATAGCTATAATGATAGCATTTAGAGTGCAATGAATGAAAGATATAAGCAGAACGCAAATATATCACTCATGAGGCATCCACATAGTAATTTCCTAATATTATCTCCAGTATAATTGTATAAATTACTAGCCACTTGAACAATAAACGCTAAGAAAAGAAAAGTCAAGAAAACTGGACCAGGGAAGTCTCACCATCCCCCATAATTCATATGAGCTGAGCAGAAATTCCCACTTTCAGGGTTTTCATAAACCAAATCATAGTTGAAAAAGGTTCCCATGGAATCAATATGGGAATGAACAGTTGATGGAATTGGATGCTGCTGCAGAAGGGTATATCCATTATGTAGATTGTCAACTGTGCTACAGAAAAGGGATAAAAAGCTCTGATTCAAAAGAACAATCATGATAAGACTAATAATGCTTTACTTGCTGGAAATAAGAGGCATAATAAATAACAACTTCAGAACAATTCAAAAAACTTCGTGAAATTGTCTATTTTTGTACTTGGATTTTTGGTTTTTATTTTGAAGAAAGTTTTGGATTGAGTTTTACATGCCTGATAAGTGATTCAAAGTTTCTTAAAACTCTTAAGCACTCCTCTAGTCACCTCTTTGTAATGTACATGACAAAAGAAATATCATAATTTCACTACCATGAGAACATTTCTTTCACTCAAAAGATGTCTGCAAAACTTTCCATGACAATCGACAACAATCCCCTTGCATACCATTGAAGAAAAGGCAATGAACAGAGATGCTACCTAGCTGGGGGTAAAGGCTAATTTCAGGGCATCAGAGGCCCATCTCCAATCTTCCTTTCAAGCTAATAAAATTATCTCTTACAAACACTGATTGCAGTAGGGAGAAATGTTGAGAGCACATTTATTCTATTGATATATTTGTTCAAATTCATTCAGAAGCCAATTGTCTTTTAACTTTATTATGCTCTCAACACAATACAATATCTATGGCAAGAGCTCACCTGGCATGTGCTGAATGCCTTCCTGCATGGGAGCCAATGGATACTCTAGAGGTGCAGCGTAATTCAGCAGATGGTGGTGCTTCTCAAGTAATTCATTGAACATAGAAATTTGTTTCTTCAGAATTAACTTTGTGCAATAGGCCTTAAAAAATTCTGCATTTTCTTGCTCCAATATATTCCATACTAGAAAAAGAAAAGGAAGTTCAAGCAATTTGATAGTTACTTAACTTAATATGAAAGCAATAATTTATTGTTCATTTTAAAACCTTGATTCTAAACATATGAAGCGGATGAAGATAGCATGGAACAGAAGAACAGGGGAAAAGGGAAAGATTATCATTAGCAACAATTGATCACAATGATATAATATCAGCCAGGCACATCAAATGATAGAAGAACCATTGTTCTGACATCTCATTCTTTTTGTCTGTTATCAGGTTATGAACTTGCAAGGTTGCAGGAGGCAATGCATTTCTGCATGTAGAGGAGAAAATAAGAAGACTTGTAGGAGGAATGAGTGATTTACCTATTCTTGTAAAGTCAGGCTGAATTCTTGCTTGTTCAAAGAGTGTCTTAACCACTTCATCTTTATCCAAAAATAGCTGCAGACACCTTTCAATCAAATCTTGGACCTACACAGCCAATTATATTAAACAAAGTGAAAACATCTGATGCAGATGAACATTAAATGAAACCTCTTACAATTCTAATTTCTCTACAGAGAGCAGCTGTGTTGTTGTTGCGAGCAATAGGCACCGAACCAGTACCCGCCCCAGATGTGATATTTTGTTGGTTTCTTGGTGGCTCACGAGATTTGAGTGTTGAGAAACTTGCTTCTTCCGAATCCTGTGAAAGTTCATTTCAATTAGTTATCCAAACCAATAGAAAACAATAGGTTCAACAGCATTCAATCAGCTTGAGGTGGCAAAGCATTGCAAACAATTTGGGAGGTTTTCCGATAATTGAGAATTCCTGTTGCTTATTTAACATTAACTGTAGTTTGATTAGAACAACAATTTCGACAAAAGTTACAAATATTCACCATGACCAATAACTGCATGCTGTAATTGCATAAACAACCCAGATTCTTACTGGTAATTAACTAACAGTGTTCCACAACTGGGATGATACTGTGGTAGCACTCCAGGCTGGTTTGCTACTAACTACAGCATTAATATCATATGGCATAAGACTTCAACTATTTGACCGATTCCTTTAAGAAAACAGACAAATAAATCATGAGGTGAGGAAGTCAATACCTCTTTCACCTTCATTTCAATTCAATAGCAGCAATCAACTTTTCCTTGTTTGAGGTTGGGATCTCCCTTGATGCTTTACATGAAATGGTCACCTGAATTTGATAATAAAAAATAGAAATAACATACTATAAGGAAAAAATGATTCTTCTAATCCTGTACAGTTTTATGTTTTACACCCTTTTTGTCAACTAGGTAAATAAAAGAATTTTAAAAACAAGAAAAACATCGCCTGAAAATAGAACAGATTCAGTATTTTTTCTTTTTTGCATTTTCTTAGTAACCAAACAAAAAAAATCAGTAATTTACACCACAATCACATTTAGTTGCTATTCTCGAACATAACTCTAACTGAAGTAGATGATAAACCAAAAAAATAATAATATTTCTTTAACTTCTACAGAGTTTCACTTTTCCTGCCCTCTTATAGACCTCATAAGAAATAAATAAAAACATCAAATCACAGAAAATAAACAATTCAATCAAATTGAGGATTCAAATTTTCGTACTTCCATTTTCTAAGCAAGCAAACAAATCCAATCCAACAAAAACAGCAAAAAGATTCAAACTTTAAGTAACAAAAACTTAAATTCTACACAGCCATATTTTTCATTTCCTTTTGTTACTCACTTCATAAACAACCAAATGAAGAGATCAATCAAAATAAAAAATTCAATGAAGTTTAAGATTCCAAATTTCTAAGCAACCAAACACACCGACCTCCCTAAAAACACCAAAAACAACTAAAAGCTTCAAACTTTAAAGCACCCCGGATTACAGAAACTTGAGAACTGCCAAGAAAATCAAAGATGAGATCTTTGATCACAAATAACTTACTGGAAGGGGGTTGGCGCGGAGTGTTGGCCACTGTATAAAGGAGGAGCGAGAGCGTTTCAGTTCAAGCCATCTACGTCACTCTACAGTGCGCAACTGAAAGTTGGTAACATAAATAACGAAACTTTTACGGGCTCGTTTCAGAAATGTCTGGGCTTTGTCAGCCCAAAACGCCCAAAACATTATCAGCCCTTCTTCATTTTAGATGGCATTTGTTTTTCAAAAATTGATTTTTGAAAATTGATTTTTTAAATTTTTTTAAATTTATTTATTATTAAAAAAATTGGTTAATAAAAAATATTTTTCAGTAAAAAAATTTAGCTTAGTTTTCAGAAAGTATTTTCCTAAAAAATTTAGGCGAAAAATACTTCTGAAAGTTGTGAGAAATTTAAAAATATTATATTATTTGTTGATTATATAAAATTTGATCTTTAAAATTTTGATTGCTATATATATTTTATTTTAAATATTTATTTTTTAATTTTATCTTGTAAAATTCAATTTTTATATTAACTTTGGTTCTCATTTTTATAATTGTTATTTATTTTTTCTTATCATTTTTTTATTGAAATTTTTTATCTATCAGATTTAGTCCTTATTCTTTTGATTGTTATTTATTTTATTTAAAATAATTTATGAAACGTTAACTATTATCATTTTAATTTCTTCACCTTTTAATTTTTAGATTTGATTTTTATTATTTTTATTTTTATTTATTTTATTTGAGATAATTTATTAATTATATATTTTTTTTAATTTTATTTTCATTCAACATTTTAATTTTTAAGATTTGACCCTTATTATTTTAATAAACCTGAAAAAAATAAAATATTAATAAGTTATTTTCTTGCTTATTTTTCATAATATAACCAAATATTAAAAAGTGTTTTTCAACTTATTTTCTAGTACACTATTAAATATCAGAAAATAATTTATTTTTATGGAATTCATTTTAAAAAAAACACTACTTTCCTATAAACAAATGAGAACTTAGTGTTTATACTTTGAAAGCAATATTTAAGATACAACATGTGATAAAACAATAATTATATATATATATATATATATACTGAAAGTAGAAATAGAGTAAATAAATAATAAATAAAGATATAAAAAAATAAAATAAACATATGAAAATAAATTGCATGAAAGATTAGAGTTGGGGAAAAAATTTTGAATATTGAAATTCATGTCACATGGCGGGACAAAAAAATTACAATGAAATATTTTTCTATTCATAAAAAAAAACTTAATTTGTAAGTAAATTAAAAAAATGAGGTGAGAATAAGAATAAAAATAAAAATATATATATATAAAAAAAGAAGAAATTACACTTTTTATATTAAAATATTAAACTTAATCACACCGTATCATGATTTTTTCTGCTGATATGTTTTTTAAAATTTATTTTTATAGTTTAATTAATTTTTTAAAGTGTTTTTTAAATTATTTTTATCTAAAAAATATTTAATTAATATTTTTTATATGCTTTTCAATTTTTTAATATAATAATGTTAAAAATAAAAAATATAATTTGAATTAATTTTCAATTAAAAATCACTCGTATATCCAATTTACCCACCCCGCGCTTCCTAGTTAATTGTCACTGTTACCATTGGCTGATTCTTCTGCAAATAAATCAAATTTGATATTTCTTTATATGGTTTGATCCATGTTGTTTCTTGAAGCATTGAATTTGGTCCCTAACAACAAAAGTTTTGCAATTTAGCCATATGTACTCAAGTTCGATCCTGCCACATCATTGAAGGCCGACAAATTGGGACAGACTTGAACGAGTGGATGCATATTGTCTAAAAAGTTAAATTAATCAAGTTCAAGAGTTGTATTTCGCATTTCATGGTTTTGTTTCGCAGTCTGATGAGTCCTTGAAACATTTTGGGGTTGTTACCGGCAAATCTCTTCCCACGGCTTCAGCTCTTGGCAATGTTAACAATGCTCCACCTGTTCATATATATGTTAGCATTAGTTGCCATCAAGAGTTGAGCATATAGCAGTCACCGGCAGCAAAAAGAAAAGGAAGAAGATAATAGCAGTTTATTTTCAGGTTTAAGGGAGAGATAGAGACTAACAAAATGAGCTGATCAAGACAATGGCCAAGAAAGCCAGCTTGAACATGTCATCATTTCAGGAGTTGATGTTTGCATCCTTCAGCATCAATGGCCATTCTCAGGAGTTGAGACCGCATTTGCAGCTGAGATCATGGATTGATATCATTTCACCTTCCTGTCAGAGGCAGAGGGAGAGCTTTAAACTCGAAAGATGTGGTTTGATAAGCCTTGTAATCATAAATTAAGTGGTTCCATGACAGATCCAGGCTTGATTCACAGTACAGAGTTGTTGCTGCTGGCGGATTCTGAGTTTCTTGGGGGGTGACTGGATATAATATACACTTAAATTGGATTTTCCTATGAAAAATACTTGTCAATAATCGTCCAGCTGAGAGATCACACTCCCCAATTCCAGTCCCCTTCATGACAGATTCTCTTGCGACTGTGTATATTTTTTGCTATTGCTGATCGCAATTTGCCCATATCAGGGACGACTTCTATGAGAAACACAAGTCGGTGAATAACTACAGTACACAAGTCTGTGCTATCGCTGCCATGGCTTGGACTCAAATTTTTCGAAATGTAAAAAATATTTAGATCATCAAAAATATTTTGGTATTGTTATTAAGCACCGTATAATAGTTTAGATTTAAATATTTCAATCCAATTCTTTGCTTAATATAATTTTAAATTAAATTGTATAAGAATTATTTTGATGTGATTTTATTAATTGACTATATTCATCTTATTTGATTCATCAAACTCACAATTTAATTTATATATTTCACTAGGTCAAATGAATTTTTTTATTTTGTTACATGAAAAAATTGATTTATCATCAATTCAGTATTAAAAAATAAAACTAAATAAAACAATCTTACATTAAAGGATAGAATTAAAGCTAGGTTGGTATTTATTATTTTTTTCTTTACATATGTATTTTATTGCTCTTGGCCAGAATCAAACCCACAACATTACCCTCCTTCATGCTTAATTCAATCAACTATGCTATGACATAAAGTTGTTATAAAATAATTAAAATATAAAATAATTTTATTTATTATTCATATAAACGGTTAAACTAACCCTTAGTTTTTTTTTCCTTAAAACTAAATTTATCACTAAAATAATTTTAGTTTAAGCAAATAAAGAGAAGATGTTTATGAAGATAATGTTTTTTTATTTCTAAAATATTTATAAAAAAAACTCTTAATCTCATAATTGTTAAATTAACACAAGAATAAAAAGGAAGCATGCTTACATTAAATTCAAGCAGTCAACAAAGTTACTTGCAACATAAATTTCACAGCAGAATAGAACAGGACAGCAATAGTCCGTAACCATACCCACTCTCAACGTTTATTAAATCACTCAGAGAACTTCACTTTTCTGAACACAGTTTTATAGTTAAAAGTTTCAGACTGTCTCCTGGTAGCGGCAACAAGCAAGCATTTTAGTGATAACCGAGAGGAGCAGGAGCTTCCTTCAGTTCGTGTCCTTGATAGTGTATGTCCTGCGAGTGATTCAAGAACAATAAATTAGAATATGAAAAAGAAAAAAGAGCGGTGTTAGAAGCAGAAAATGAATGATTAATTGAGTCCATGCAGAGACGGAAAGGCCTCAGAGTTGAAAAATCATGACGAAGTCGAACAATTTCAATCGGATTCTCACCGATGCGAAGTGATTCACATCACGGTGATGTGCTTCATCAGCTCTAACAACAACAACAACATCGCGGAGGGTGGAGTTAGGAGGCAAGCGCCAGTAATCAATAGCAATGGCAGGAGCAGGAACATTCTTAATGTTGCCTCTGTCCACCTCCTCCAGGAACTCCGTGTAAGAGTGAATAGCTTCCTCCTCGAGATACCCCACCATGCGATGAGCGAATTTGGGGGAGATGAGGTAGCCAAGGAAGTAAGCATTGAAGAAAACACCTTGGACGGTAAACACTAGAGCACGTTCATACCACCTGGGATTTGACACCTCCATGAATGTCATGAGATGCATTCGCTCGTTTTCAGCCTCTTCAAGTAATGCTTTGATCCATCCTCCACTGTGCTCAAATCGCCTCAAGGACCTGCAGTGCAGCAGCATGCCTGCTACCATTCCTGGCACTGCTGCCACAGTCTCCAACATCATTGCGCGGCAGCCGTACCTTCTCTGTTACATACAGAGATAAGACAAGTTTTTTCTTAATGCATCAATTTGTGTTCAAAATTTGCCTTGCACGTCTAACAATCTATTTTTTAATTATAGTCAATGTAATCCATTGATGCTCATTCAAGATCAGTAACACATGCACAGAATCCCTTCATCTTTCCCTTTGAGAAAGGCAAGACATCAATAGAAACGTCTTTCCTAAACTAAGTTTTTGGTAAGTATTCATGAAAGAACATTTACCTTGATAATTTTTCCCCTACCAATTTCATTTCATGGATACATACCAATCAATTGACAGGATATTCCTCTGTCAATTTGTAGCTGTCCTCTGTTACTGCAGTTCTGACAACAACAGAGGGGATAACCCTAGCATCCTGTATTGCCTCAAAAAACAACACAGAAATCAAAATTTAGGGTCCAACAGCAACATTTTAATGGATAATCAGTCAATTTTTGTTCACCAAAAACAAAATCTTGCATAATCTGTCAATCCAAAGAAATATGAGCAGAAGCTCTTTATGAAATCTAAAGAGTAAAAAAACCTCAAATGATTTGATCAAAATAACAAAAGAAAAGAAGGGTGAAATGAATCAACCATACCTGAAAGAACAAATCAGTGGGCCATCTGAGAGTCTTGACAGTCCAATAAGCCATTTTATCCAAAGAGGTGACTGGGGCATGATGCTTCGTCAGATCAATTGACAAATCAGCAGAATATGTCTCCCATGGCTTCAATTTCATAAAAAAAAACCATAAGCACAAGATCAATCTTCAAATCCCAACAAGAAAAAGAAAAACACACATATTTCCACAAGATTTTTTATTCTATATATCTATTAAAAAAATCCCAACGAAACAAAAAAAGAAAGAAAGAAAGAAAACTTTTTTTATCACGAAAGCATGAAACTTTGATTCAAGAAACCAAAACCATATATGAAAAAGAATTACCCATGAGCATTTATCAATGA